TTTTTGATTTATTGTAGAGATGAGGTCTCAACAAGTTGCCCAGGCGGGTCTTGAACCTGCAGGCTCAGGCAATCCACTTACCTCAGCCTCCTAAAGCGTGGGATTACAAGCTGAGCCACCGAGCCCAGCTAGAACATCTTTATTCACATAAAATTCATTCCTTTAAAGTGTACAATTCAGTGGCTTTAGTGTGTTCACAGAGTTGTGGAGCCATCGGCATGATCTACGTTTAGAACATTTCCATTACCCTAAAAAGAAACCTCATACTTACTAGCATCCCTTCTCATTCTCTCCCAAACGAATCTACTTTCTGTCTATATAGATTTACCTATTCTGGACATTTTTTACAAATGGAATCATGTAATATGCGGCTTTTCATGTTTGACTTCATTCACTTAGCATGCTGTTTTCAGAGTTTGTTCATTTTGTAGCATGTATCAGTATCTCATTCCTTTTATTTGGCTGTTATGAATAATGCTGCTGTGAACATTCATGGACAGGTTTTTGTGTGAACATACGTTTTCATTTTTGGTTAGGTAGGAGTGAAATTGCTGGATCATATGGAGACTCTATGTTTAATTTTTGAGAAATTGCCAAGCTTTTCCAAAGTGATTGCATCATTTTATATTCCCACCAGCAATGTATAAGGGTTCCAGTTTCTTCATATCCTCATCAACGCTTGTTTGTCTGACTTTAAAATGATATTATCTAGTGTTTAAGATCATAGTAGATGTGAATTGGTATCCCTGGTGGCTTTGATTTATATTTCCCTGATGGCTTATGATGTTGACCCTCTTTTCATTTGCTTCTAGGCCATTTATGTATCTTTGGAAAAAAATCTTTTTATTATTGAGTTGTAAGATTTATTTATATATTCAGGATACTGGTCACTTATCAGATATATGATTTGTGGTTTACAGACTCAGCCATAATTCATCTTTTACTTCCTTACTCTACCTCCATTAGGTTCTCTCATTCTAGTCAGACTTATCCTTTTTTCTTCTTTTAGCTTCTTTTTTTGGGGGGGAGTTGAAGTCTCATTCTTTTTGCCCAGACTGGAGTGCAGCAGCACACTCACAGCCACTGTAGCCTTGACCTGCAGTGGCTGTGAGTGTGCCACTGCACTCCAGTGTTCCTTCCACCTCAGCCTTCCAAGTAGCTGGAACTACAAATGCATGCCACTACCTGGCTAGTGTTTGTGATTTTTTGTCATTGAGACGAGGTCTCACCAAGTTGCCCAGGCTGGTCTCAAACCTCTGGGCTCAGGCAATCCTCTTGCCTTGGCCTCCCAAAGTGCTGGGATTACAGGCTGAGCCAAATGTCTGGCCTTTTAGCTTCTTTTTAATGAAATATTCAAAATCAGGCACAGTGGCTCACGTCTGAGATCCCAGCATGTTGGGAGACCGAGGCAGGACTTGAGCCCACGAGTTTCAGATCAGCCTAGGCAACCTCATCTCCATCTACAAATAAAAAAGTTAGTGACTTGGGAGGCTGAGGTAGAAGGATCGCCTGAGCCCATGAGGCTGTGGTGAGCTGTGATCATGATACTGCACTCAAACCTGGGCGACAGAGTGAGACCTTGACTCAAAAAAAAAAAAAACAAGAAAGAAAAGAAAAAGAAATGAGAATAGCATAATGAACTTCATATAGCCATTACTCAGCTTCAACAATTATCAATTCATAGCTATTAAAACAGTTTTTTTCCTCTTTTTACCACTTTTTTAAAACCACTTTGTTTTTATAAGCTATAACTCATGGCTATTTTTGTTTCAACCATGACTCCCCTATCCTATCATACTACACACACTGTATTATTTTGAAACAATTTCCAGATATTCTATCATTATCTCTATAAATATTTTAGTAGTTATCTCTAAAAGATAAATAATCTTAAAAATACCATTATTACATCTAAAAGACTTAACAGTAATTTCTTAGTTTTACTAAAATCTTATTAGACTTTTTTCTGTCCTTACGTATGTTTTGTTTTTCTAAGTACCTTGGCTTCTTGTTAGCTCTTTATTTCACTTGGTATACTTTCCCTCTTAACCTATGCCTTTCTGGTGCATCAGAATTCTTTATGACCTTCATGACTTATCTCCATGAAGCTTTCCTCTACTGATACCATTTCCTTCATTTTGAAATTTCCTAATGATTATGTATGCAACATGCAGTTCTTTAGTATTTACTAAATTTTGTTTCTAAAGATGGAAAATTTTGACTAGTACTCTGCTTTGTAAAAGTCTTTAGAGGTCTCAGTAGTGAATATTCTTGTAGTCATTTGCCTTCTCTTTCAGAGAGAGAAGATGTAATATGGGAGAAAGTGGGTCCCAGACTTGGAAGACTGAACCTTGAATGGTTACTGGAGATTACAGGAAGGGTCAGGAATCAGAAGGATGTTGTTTTAGACATATTGGTCTCTTATGAAGAACCTGATCTAATCATAGAGCTGTGGGAAGCAGTTAGCTAGAAAAGCAGGGGTGACTTTGGAGGGCAGGGGGTGGTATAGGGGCTTTTTGCCCAGGAAAGAAGAAAGCTGGTTTTAGGATAGTCCTGTGACTAGGTCTGAAATAAGTGTTAGGATTAACCCAGATTCAGGTATTTTTACAGAGCATGTGTTGTTACCTGAACCTGAGAAGTACAGTGGACCTCAGAATTAACACTAATGAGTTCTGAAGGAAGAGGAGATAGAAATCCACTGTCAAGGAGTGACTGAGTATCTCTGGCTAGGATCATAAGTCAAAATGACAATGAAATAAGGAGAAAGTAGAAGAAAAGTGTGTTTGCAGGCAGTTACTGAGTAATGCGAATGTATTGAAGCTTATCTGATTTTTTATTTAGTTTGCTCTTTGAGGTTTCCTCATACCATCTTAAAGCCAATTTTGTTTTTTACAGACTAAACTGAAGAAAATGTTTGGTGGGTTCTCAGAGACTTTGAGGGAAATCAAGAGCAGCAGGGTTTATTGTGCAGAACTGGAATGTGTAGTCAGAAAACCTGAGTTCTGCTTCCCTTGACTAGATGGCAAGGTTTTGTTTTGTTTTGTTTTTTTGTGTCTCACTCTGTTGCCCAGACTGGAGTGCAGTGGCCACTCTCACCCACCGCAGCCTCGACCTGCTGGGCTCTGGCGATCCTTCCATCTCAGCCTTCCAAGTAGCTGGAACTACAGGCGCGTGCTGTCACGCCCGGCTAATTTTTTGACTTATTGTAGAGATGAGGTCTCGCCAAGTTGCCCAGGCGGGTCTTGAACCCGCGGGCTCAGGCAATCCACTCACCTCAGCCTCCCAAAGCGCGGGATTACAGGCTGAGCCACCGAGCCCAGCAAGGTTTTGTTTTGTTTTGTTTTTGAGTTGGAATCTCATTCTGTTGCCCAGGCTGGAATGCAGTGATGGGGTTATGGCTCACTGCAGCCTCAACCTCCTGTGCTCAGGTGATCTTTCCACCTCAGCCTCCTCAGTAGCTGGGACTAAAGGTGTATGCTTCCACGCCCAGCTAGTTTTTAAAATTTTTTTCCTAGAGACGGAAGTCTCACTCTGTTGCCCAGGCTCGTCTCAGACTCCTAGGCTCAAACAGTTCTCTAACCTTGACTTCCCAAGGAATTACAGGTATAAGCCACCATGCCTGGCTGTTTTTTTTTTTTTAATTAATAAAATGGGTATGATAATATTTTTCTGATTTCCACTGGAAAGTTATTAGAGTTGATAAAATATGTGCAAAGACACTTTGAAAACTTCAGAATGGCATGTTAGTAGTTGTTAACTAAAGGCCTTAAGAACAAGGTCTATTTACTTGGGCAACAGGAGGTAAAAGTTTCCAGCAGCTGGGATAAGTAGGAAATGATAATAACTTTGAGGGGCTTCCTTGGACCAGTTGAAAATCTTTTCCTTACTGTGCAATCCCTGGGAGAATTGAAATGATTGAGTATCTTTAGATATGAATGTAGTAGGAGATCAGAAGTGATTATCGTTTTTTCTATTGCAGAAGAACTGGATGGGGCTGGAGGAGAAGAGTATCCCATGGATATTTGGCTATTGCTGGCCTCCTACATCCGTCCTGAGGACATTGTGAATTTTTCCCTGATTTGTAAGAATGCCTGGACTGTCACTTGCACTGCTGCCTTTTGGACCAGGTTGTACCGAAGGTGCGACCATAGAGATGTCACTCTGTTATATGTGTAGCTGATTTCATTGTTGTTTGTGATTTGAAAAGCTACTCACTGGATGGTGTCCTCTTTTCACTTTCACTTTGTCTATTCCATGTAAAGCTGGGCATGACCCTAGCTTTAGGCTCCTTGAGCCCCTCTGTAGTTTAAATTTGATATTAATTACTCAGGTAATTGTCTTCCCTGTGGTTGCCTCCTTACTCCCTCCAGTATCCACTTTAGCACAAACTCTAGTTGTAGATCCCAGAAAGAACTATCTATTCTTGCTTCAGAGACTTATTTAGCTAGAATATTAAAAAACTATAGATGCCTATCTGCTTATCTTTCCAACTGGATTAGTTGTTTTCTTAGATTTATTAGTCATCTTGAAGTATAAAGTTTTTGTACTTACGCTGCCCTATGTATAGTTGTAATGGTGAGGAGCAAGTTAATTATATAATTAGTAAAAGAGCTAGCTTTTGATGCTAGTGAAATTGTAGTGAAGATTGTGAGCTGTTGTAATGCTGTGGTGGGAAGGAGTGGTGAGTAGCAAGGAGTAGAGAACTTGAGACATCCTGGTGGCAGAACCTGGTGACAGGAGAACCTGGGACAGTTTCATTTTGAGCAACAAAAGTATGTTAATACTGTTTTAAATTCAGAGTGAAAGTCAGGATTTAAACTTTTGTAGAGTGAAAGTCAGGATTTAAACTTTTGAAGTGGATGAAAAAGTGCAGAATTAAAAGGCAAAGAAATAAAAGTTGCTGAGAGCTTAAGGAGATGGTGATTTGTATGTGTGTGAGCACTTGGGGATAAACCAGCTACTGGCTGGTATAAGAGTACTGTAAAGTTCATACAGAGACCAGGAGTCTTAGGCGACTGACTTGGAGCAGGAGAGACAGGTCACATATTGGTAGTAATGTGTCATGTTTCAGGCACTACACGCTGGACGCTTCTCTGCCTTTGCGCCTGCGACCAGAGTCAATGGAGAAGCTGCGCTGTCTCCGGGCATGTGTGATCCGATCTTTGTACCATATGTATGAGCCCTTTGCTGCTCGAATCTCCAAGAATCCAGCCATTCCAGAAAGCACTCCCAGCACATTAAAGAATTCCAAAGTAAGTGAGAACTAGTGTTGGGGTTTGACTAGTGGATTCTTATATGTGGGTCTGTTATCATGGTTTGTCTCCAGCTTCCTTAATGGGGAGGGCTGTAGGTCCCAGTCTGCTAGGGGAACTAATGTAAACTTCCAGGGCTCAAAGGTTTCACTTCTCTAGGATATTCCTGCTTTACTGGGCTGACTTAATCTTATCTTTGCCTTAAAGCTTCCTTGTGCTTTTTAGCTTATGCCTTATTCTTTTTATTTTAATTAATCTTCATGCATTTTACATTGGACCATTTTAGATATAGTGGTTTTGATGGTTTGGGCTAAGGAGAGCACAACTCAAATAGTAAATGTATGCTATAATTTTTAAATCATGGGACAAAGGTATAACACGAACAACTCAATAATTTTCTATTTATAATGTGACATTGACATTAGGGATTCCCCTCTGTTGTTGACCTCCTTAAAGGACTCTGGTGTAGACTTTATTTCTTTAGCATTTGCTGAGGGCCCCATGCCAGGCTATTGCCAAACTCTGATTCATAGACCTTTGGGAAGGCTATTGGTCCTCTGAACCATATCCTTCTCTGAAATCCTTCTTGTGTTTTAGGCTTTTTTATCTCAGGATTTCCCCAGTATTTTATATTCATACATTATATTCAAGTTTCAGATATTCTTCTGATTTGTAAATAGGTCTATTGTCTTTGTTCCGTTTTTTCTTTTTCTCCTCCCTGATGAAATTGCTAGTGATGTCAACTTTGCCAAGCTAGGCTAGTATAACAGATACAATAATTTAGGCAAGTTGATATCTTAGCCCTTTTCTTATTCAAGTAATACCATTGTCTAAATTTCATCTTTGAGTTTGTAGGTAACTTTTATTATTCTGTTAATACCCCAAGTCTCATATTCTATAGCACTTATCATTCTCTTATGCTTTGTTTTTATGGTAATGGACATTATATAATAATTCTTCTTCCCTAGTGTAGCTTTAGGGTGATCATATTCTACCTGATATGTATGAATTAAAAGGGTACTATTGATTTCAAGATTATCAAGGCTCACCCGAGACATGCAAACTGAGGTGGTCAGGGCCATTGGCTGTGCTCAAGTTAATATCATGCTAGTTGATGGATTTAGGGCAGGAGTAGAATGCTGGACGAGTAGGATTTCACCTGGCAGCTGCTTCTGCTTGTAACATGAGTGGACAGTGTATTATCTCACATTTACAGTATCCCTCCCCAGAAACATTGATATTATCAGACTAAACTGTCTTGGGGGTGGGGATCAGCCCAAAGTTAGCCATGCCAGGAGTGAATCAATTGCTGGGAACAGAGCAGCATTGGGCAAACTCCTCATGCTTACACATCTTAGCGGCTCCAGTGCACGATGCAAGTGCTACTGCCTAAATTCTAAAATACCTGTATCTTCATATTCCTATCATTCTCATTAATTTTTAAAAAGTGAACTGTAGAAAGCCAAAGTAAAATGAAGACTAAGGTCTTAATTCAAATAGTAAGTCCAGGCCACCTGGCTGCTTCTTTTGTGCCTTGTTAGAGATATTCTGAAGAGGGTATGGGACCTGCGGTGGCAGTTGTCCCACGCATGGCCTTGCCACTTGTATACTCACAGTCGCATGGCATTCAGGGAATTGCCAGCATGCCTAAAGGAAGTTGTCCCATGTTCTTGGACTCCAGCTTTTCGTATTTGATTCCCCCTCTCTCTCTTTTCAGTAGCATAGCTTGTGTGGGACACTGGAGCCGTTGTGATGGCAGCAGAAGTGTTTTCCCCTAAAGCCAAGCCCATTATTTTTGATGGAACAGCAGGACGTACAGGGCATGTCTGAAGGGCAGGACAGCTGGCACGGCGGACGACCCACCCCCTACCCCCTGGGAGGTACTTCACTTCTTGTGCTTAACCCTAGCTGTAGCCTGACTTTCACTGAGGGGCTTACTCTAGACTGAATTCAGCCTAGCTGTGTGGTTTCTATACTGGCTGTCTGCTCCCAGAAGGTCCTGAGCAGTTTCCTCCGGTCATGGGGCCAGCTCTCCCTGCCTACTTTATGGCCTTGTTATCATCTTGACTGGTGGCTGCTGGCTGCCCTTATGTTTTAATGTAGAGGAGTGACCTGCTGAATCACAAAGAATGCTCCAGCCTCCAGATACCATGTTTCTGTCTTTAAAGATGAGAACAATAAGGGTTGATGTCAGTAACTCTGAGGTTGACTTATATTGGTCCCTCTTTACCGAACAGCCCTGGGACTGTCTGTTTTCATGTTGCACCAACGTGAAGTTGGGGGTCTATATGTGCCAAAGTAAAATCTCAGCATTGGGACTGTGGCTGGCTTTAGAGCTGTCAGAGAGAGGTTTTTACTGCTTATTTTTTGTTACCTTATGGTGTGTTTTGATTTTTTTTTCTTTTTCTTTTTTGTTGGTTTATTTTGTTTTTACTTTCTTACAGTGCTTACTTTTCTGGTGCAGAAAGATTGTTGGGAACAGACAGGAACCAATGTGGGAATTCAACTTCAAGTTCAAAAAACAGGTATGTGGTCTTCTCTTTGCTTTTCGGGTAATATCTTGTTCTAATAAATTTCACTAGATGCTTTTCTTAGTCTGTCTGTGCTGCTAAAACAAATACCACAGACTGGGTAATTTATGAAGAACAGTTTTGGAGGCTGGAAAGTCCGAGATCCAGGTGCCACCAGGTTCAGTGTCTGGTGCAGGCCTGGTCTCTCTGCGCCTAAGATGGGCATATTGTTGCATCTTCCAGAGGGCAGGAACACTTTGTTCTTACATTGTAGAAGGCAGAAGGCCAAAAGAGGCCAAACCCAGTGTGAAGATTCTTTTATAAGGGCCTTAATCCCATTCAAGAGGGAGGAGCTCTGTGACCTAATCACCTCCTAAAGGTCCCACCTCTTAATATTGTTGCATTGGATATTAAGTTTTAGCATTTAAAACTTGACTCTAGGCTTGAGATTGCCTTATTAAGATTAAATAATATATATAAAAACTAATATAGATTGAGCATCGCAAATCCAAAAGTCCAAAATCCAAAATGCTCCAAAACCTGAAACTATGAGCACTGACAGGATGCTCAAAGAAAATGCTCATTGGAGTATTTTGGATTTTGGATTTTTGGATTTTCAAGTTTTGGATGCTTAAGTGGTATAATGTAAATAAAAATCTGAAACACTTGTGGTCCTGAGCATTTCAGATAAGGAATACTCAACCTGTATTGCCATGAAAAGAAAAGGAAGGAGGAATGATTCTGTTTTGAAAGACACAAGTATAACAACGTGATTCAAGAGTAAACCTGGATTTGATCTGTGGATCAGGGAACAAAGAGCTATAAGAGACATTTTGGGGACAATTAAAGAAATTTGAATCAGCTGTGGATAATATGAAATTATTGTTAATTTTCATATGTGTGATAATGTGTGGTTATGTTTAAGTGTCTATTTATGCTGAATTATTTAAGGGTGAAGTGTAAATATTACTTCCATATGGTTTTGCACCACTCTCCTTCCCAAAGTGTGTGATTTCTGTATATGTACAAATATAGAATGGGGGGGAAAGTACATATGGCAAACTATCAATGATAGAATGTATACAGAAGTTTATTGCACTTATTATTGAGTTTTCTGTATACTTGAAGTCTTCTAACAAGTGGGAGAAAGGGAAAAAAAGTAACAATGTACTAAAGTTATTTGCTTAAATTATTTTTTGTTGTTCAAAGCCAGTATATTTATAAATATACTTTATATGGTTTTATGTTAGAGGTGATTTGAGAAAGCCATGAGGAGAGGAGAGGGAGAGGGATTGCCAAAAGGCTTTATGAAAAGAGTACAAACCAGTCCCATCTGTCTCTGCCTTGTGTTCAGACTGTACCTGAGAGCTTGGCCACAGGGAGGATCTGCTTTACCTATCTGTAATTCTTATCTTCAACAGCCTCATTTTTTTTTAAACCTGTCTTCTCTACTTAGTATCTCACTGATGAGACATTACAGATAAAGGTAGTTATTCCTCACTTGGTGGTTAGTGGGTTACAGATAAGTTTGTAAATCATATTTTCCTATTGATTTATTTCAAAAACATGGTTCTGGGGAATAATTTTGGTTCTGGTATTTTGCATTTAATAAGATCCCCATAGTCTGGGATATCCATTAGCCATTGGTAGAAAGTCCACCAGACTTTTCTGAGACGGGGCGGAAGGGATAGTCTTAATAGTGGTGAGATTTACTAGAAGCAGAGACCAGGATATTGCAGGAAAGTGAATACTGACATTTTCTTTAGTTCCAGGACTTGTTGTGACTTCTTTGTTTTATGGTGCATGGAATTAGGTGGCCATTTCTGCTTCTGTCTCTTTTGTGTAGCAGATGTTCTTTGGAGTTTGACAAGTTATAAGGAATATGCAGTCTTTCAAATATTGGAGAGCCTCTGATAGAGGCTGTAAGTTTCTATTGCTTGTCAAATAGCAAGGAATAACTACCGTATTTGCTCATCCAAATGTATTTCCCCTTCTTTCAAAGGGCAGGTTTTCTTTGATCTTCAGAAACTGAAATGTGTGTGTGTGTGTGTGTGTGTGTGTGTGTGTGTGTGTGTGTATCTATATATATAGAGAGAGAGAGAGGGAGGGAGGGGATAACAGAAAGGTGTATCTCACTAACTTTAGTCGAGCCATAGGATTTTAATTGGTGGAGTCTTAGAGCTATATACATTTCTTCTAAGCTATTAGATTAATTCTCAGTTCTTGTCAGTCCCCTAGGTTAAAGAGCAAGTGTATGGGAGGATTACAGCCTCCTGTTCAGTATGAAGATGTTCATACCAATCCAGACCAGGACTGCTGCCTACTGCAGGTCACCACCCTCAATTTCATCTTTATTCCAATTGTCATGGGAATGATATTTACCCTGGTAAGTGGGGACTCAGATGGTCATCCTCAGCTCTTTCATAGATTCTCATAAAGAGATTTGTAAATTTAATCATTAAGGAAGAAATCTTTGAAGAATAATTTTAAAAGTTTGAAATCAGATTTAATATGTTAGGAATAGACAGATTTGTGGAGATGGTAATTATATCAGAATATTTTACCTCTTTTTCTGTAGGAAAATAACGTTTTTGCATCTTGTGTAATGATCATTAATAATTGGGAAAAATTATCCTATTAGGAATAATGATGAGTCACATACATGAGCACTGTGTGTCAGGGCCTTGAGGTCCACATGGGGTCATAAATGGGATGTTAATATATGGGGTGACCAGCTCAGCTCTGTCCTTGGTGTGATCCTATCACTGTTCAAGGCTTAGCTAAGAATTAGATTAGTAAACAACATTTTTTTTCAGGTTTAAGAAAATTTTAATTGGATTGGCAACTAGAGACTTTGTATAATTTGTATTCTCTATGTCTTAGGCTTATATTCATATACATGGGATTCCCCTTCCACAATGAAAATAGCTTTTTTTAGTGGTAAAATAGATAATGAATGCATGCTTTATGTAAATAATTTAAGTAATACATAAATATATGAGAAAGGAAAGGTGACTTAGACTTCCACTATCGTATAACTGCAATTAATCCTTTGGGAGCAAGTCCTTTAATGTGTCTGTTAATATGTATACTTGTACTCTCTTAAATAATTTTGTATAATTGAGGTTATGTCATACATGCAGTTTTAATTGTAGGCACCTCTCCCTCCAGGTTAAGCCACATTAATGACCTAGTTATATACTCATGCTCCATGTATTCCATACTATACAATTCTGTAGACCCATTTGCACAGACATTTGGAGATTTTATTTTTACAAAACATGGGATCAGATTTATGTTATGTGCATCTTTCTTGACTTGCTAAACAGTATCTTATCAAAATCCCTTTAAGTATCTTATAGCTTCAACCCAATTTTAAAAATTAGCTGTGATGGTAGTCTTTGTGCATGTATACTGATTTATTCATCCATTTGTGAGACTTTCTTTAGCATAATTTAAATATATGAAGCTAAGAAGACTTTATAAAATTGTCCTTACCTTTTTATATCTTTACGAAGATTAATCTTGTGGGCTAACCAATGTAAATTATGTTGACTATTTCAGAGTGAGCTGTTGGAAACAGGGTGTGTAAGTTGGGTACTAAATTTGTTTTTCTCTTTTAGTTTACTATCAATGTGAGCACGGACATGCGGCATCATCGAGTGAGACTGGTGTTCCAGGATTCTCCTGTCCATGGTGGTCGGAAACTGCGCAGTGAACAGGGTGTGCAAGTCATTCTGGACCCAGTGCACAGCGTTCGACTCTTTGATTGGTGGCATCCTCAGTATCCATTCTCCCTGAGAGCATAGTTTCTGCTTCCCATCCCTTGGGGCAGCCCGGAGTCTAGTCCATTAGTAATCAGATTCCAGTTTGGAAGGGTTGACTGGATTGTTATATCTGGTTAGTAATGCACATGCTCTTCAGGTTCCTGGGGCTCCTGTTAGGGGAGGGAGAAGTTTTGAATTAAGAAGAAAAACATCTATGATTTATAAACATATTTTAATGTAAAAATTTGCATTTGAAAGGATTGACCCTGTTTTCTGTGTTAAAACCCCATTTGGTGCTATTGAGTTGTTTGTTCTTTTTTCTTTTATCCCAGCAAAAATGGTTGATCTTGCTTTAGGGGAAAATTAAACTCCTAAATCTCCAAACAAGGAAGTTTCAGCATTCCCTTAAAGATCAGAGGAAACTTAGAGGCCTAAAATCATTGCTACTGTTGCTTCCAATTTAGCTGACCCTCAAATTCAATTGAGTATTTTCTCTTCTCCCATTACCCTTCTCCAGAAATAAAGCAGGTGACAGGGTTTTAAGAATCTTATCAGATTGACTTGTGTATCTTTTTTAAAAAATAATTTTTGGATATTTATTGTATACATATTATTTTGCCAGTTTGGGATCTTAGGTATTTTTTTGCATGAGGCTCATAGTGGTAATGATGATTCTGTGCCCATGGTACTGTTCTAGGAACTTTATGTAGTACCTCTACTTCTCAAAATCTTGCAAGGTAGGTGATATCATTCCCATTTTATGGTTGAGAAAACAGAATCAGTGACTGTACTCATAACACTAGTAAATGCAGAACCAGGATTCTGACCCAGGTTTTTTTGTTACACTACAATTTAAAAAGATCAGTCTCATTTTTCTTGTGGTGGATGGTGGTAAAAGGGAATAGGCAGAGTGTACATAGATACAAAAGTGAGAGTGAGTAAAAACCTGATTGTGGTATACCTTATCCTAATCAGCCTAAAAAGTACGATTGATTAAAGAGTCTATTAAATCTGTGTTTCTATGTAAAACACACCAGGAAAATTATTTCATAAAGGATAGTGGCACTTTCATTGAATTGTTAAAAAGGCATTTATTAGAAAGGTCATTAAAACAAATGCATTGCATGTTGAAACCAGCCTCTTGAACCATAAGCACTTAGTGACTTAGCCCTGTAATCTACTGCTTCTGCTGTCATCCTGTGTATCTACAGAAGCCTGGCCTTTTGTCCATGCAGAAATGCTAATGTCCTCCTGTTGGTCAAATGATATTGCTGTTCTCTGAGATGAGGATCATGGGTGTTTTTTGTTTTGCTAAGAAGATAACCTTGCTGCTTGTCTCTCTTTCTACCCCCAGCCCCTCCATTAACCAGTGAGCTGGATATTGCCAGAAGGTGGGCATTAAGACAGTATTCTTCAAAGATGAAAATCTTGTGAGGGAAGTTTTTGTGAGCCAATCTGCTAAATTAGTGTGGTGTTTTTCCTTACTATTTTCCCCACCCCTTGCTATTTAAAGAATATTCCTAGGAGCCATCTGCTTAATACTGCTGCTAACAGCTAACCTTACCCTACCTTGAGGGTGGTATTAAAGCTGTTCACACACAGAGTGAGCCTGGGCCAGTGAAAAACAGAATTTGGGTATTTAAGTTGATAACAATAAGCACCTTGCAAACCTCTACAATTAAAAGTTGTCTCTTTGAGGCAGGAGGAGAGAAGCACAGAGTCGCTAACTCAAGATGCCATGGAGCAGGAGAGAGTTGTCCTGGTGCATTGTGTGTCCCCCATTTAGGAGTTACCTTTTAAAAGGGGGTGAAATAAATTTGGCTTAATAATTGTGTTCTGACTCAACTCTTGAGTTTTTGTGTCAAATTCCATGGTATGATGACAGATACACTAATAGAATATCTGCTGTTTGTCAGCATAATATTGACAAACACTTGGTAAAGTGTGTTATCGTGGCTTCAGCTTTCCTCTACATTGGCTGAGTTGCCTCTTCTAGCGTGGTGCATATTTTATTAGTGAAAGGATGTGAAGTATCTTGGAAATTTCTTTTACGTGAGAACACCAGACCACCTGGCAAAGAGTTAGAACTCTCTGGACTACAGGTGAAAAACTGTTTTATAATTTTCACTTCCTTAAATGTATACCATGATTTTGTTATGATGGTCAAACAAAATGCAGTTGACCCTTGAACAGTGCAAGGATTAGGGTCAAGACTCTTATCCAGTCAAAAGTCTGCATATAACTTTTGATTCCCCTGAAACTTAATAGCCTGCTGTTGCCTGGAAGCCTTACTGATAACATAAACAGTCGATTAACATGTATTTTGTATATGTAGTACATACTACGTTCTTACAGTAATGTAAGCTAGAGAAAAGAGAATGTTATTTAAAAATTCATAAGGAAGAGAAAATACATTCACTGTTCATTTACGATGTTGATAAAGTTCTTTGTTCTCAACGTCTTCACGTTGAGAAGGCCAAAGAGGATGAGAAAGAGGAGGGGGAGGTCTTGCTGTCTCCGGTAGTGGAGGAGAAAGAAAATCCACATATAAGTGGGCCCTTGCAGGTCAAACCTGTGTTGTCCAAGGGTCAACTGTAATACCAATTTTAGCCTCACTTGTCACCCCTCAAATCAGAATTACTCTGTTCAAAAACGCAAGGAAACTACACCAAATGGTGAATATATTGGGAATAATGAAAGAAGGTTATGTGTGTCAGTGATCTCAACTGTAGCATTTGCTGATATAGACTATGCAGTGTATATATCTATAAATACATATATGAACACATTGCATGTATATAAAAATTGTTCACACTTTTAGCAGTGCTTACTGGGTATTGGTAAAGGGTTGAGTAGGCACTGTGATGAGACTTCACAAACCAGATGGGAAAGATGCATTAATAGCCACAGGGGACAGAGTAAGGGAGCAATTCAGGCAAACGGAGAGGTTTAAAAACGTTAAAATTTGTCAGTCAGGAATTTTGGCATTTGAGACTGTTTTCATACTATGTATATATAATAGACAGACACTTCATTTTGTAGTAACAGTGTTAGAACAGCCAGGTTCCTGAAGGGAAGCGATACAATTCACTGTAGTACAAACTGCAGAACTGTATCTGAGTTTCGTTTTCGTCACTTAAAAAAAAATGGGTGCGACCAAAGAAAAGCAACAAATGGGCAAGATAGGTGTGAAAGGTGACAAACCGTTGGCAACAATGACAAAGCCTGGACCGAGGTCACTTTAGGGAACAGGTTGTTAGACTGGGAACAGGGGTGAGTTCAAACGGAGGGGCGGAATGTGCGCAGCCCTCACGGGCCTGGAACCTTATTCCTGCCGGCTGAGACCGGCACTCCGTCCCCCGCTACTCGGACTCCCGGGGCTGAACCAAGATGGCGCCCTTGTCACGTGCCAGGGCCCGGGAGAGTTCGGGGGCGGGAGGCGTGGCCTTGGGAGAGGCGGCTGCGCCCCGCCCTTGGAGGCGTGGCCCGGGGCTATCCGCGGAACAAGGGGGCGGGGCCTCGCGGCTGGTGGCTCGGGCGGCGGAGGCTGCAGCTACCTCGGAGCCGGCTCCGCTCTCTAGGACGTGTTGGGCTGCCCGGTCGGGGGCGGCTCCCTGCTGCCTCCGAGCCCAGCTGTCCGGCCTTCGGCGTTTGCAGGCAGGTGAGCGCCCAGAGCCTGGGCCGGGGGGAAGGATGACTCTTTTCCTCAGCTCCTGCTTCCCTCAACAGTTTGGGGAGGGGTCTTGTCTAGCACACCGGGGAAGACAGCCCTTTTCCACTCAGGATGTGTTGTCCGGCAGGCGTCGATGCTGCTCGCCCCGCCGCCCCTTGCCGGCCTTGGCGGTGCCCGGTGCCCTTGGGGTGAGGATGGGGGGCGATGCCCGATTTGCGGGGAGGGCGTGGAGTTCGCCCTCAGCTCCGTCGACTTCGGGGGAGGGGGCGAGTCTTCGGTGGGAGCTAGGTGAACTGCGCCCCCATTTCCCCTCCAGGAGAGTCTGAGAAGAAGCGCCTCTCGGCTCCTGAGCCAGCTCCGCTCCTTTGGGCACGCGCTTCCTGGGGTCCTCATCCTCCCTGAGTTCCTCATACCACCCTTGGTACTATCGCTAGCTCTCCATTCCTCGAACTGCCAGCCTCGGTCTGTGCCAGAGATGCCCCCATCTCCGCAGTGCCAGGGCGGTGGGGTGGAAGGAGCAGCCAACCCGAGGCCTGGTGGGGGTGGGGATGGGGGTGGGCGCAACAGGAAAAGAGGGCTGGAATCGAGATTCCTGAACTGGGAGGGTGGGAGTGGGGAGCTGACTTGCGTCCACGCAGTAGGGATCTTTTCCAGTACAGAGCTTGAGGTCTTGATGGTGGGTGGGAAGAGAGAGGTCGAGTTGGAGGACTTGGAGACACGGTGTGGGTGGTTTTCTTTGAAAAGGAGGAGGGATTTAGGACAAGGTGCCACTAGGAGCTGATGTCACCTTTGAGGAGAGGTGTGCCAGTAGTATCCATTAGAGGCTAGGAGAGTTGGGGCTGTTGTGCTCTTCTGTGTGGAGAGCAAGTGGTTAAGGAGGCCCTCCTTAGCTTGGAGATCCCCTCCTGGTGTAAGCTGAAGGGGCCCCTCCAGGAGCCAGGTTTCAGGGACTTCCCATGGTCCTTAACAGAGTTGTTGGAGCAGGCACCTGTACTTTGTTCAGCATCCAGCAAACATTTGTTGGCCACCTACTGTATACCAGATACTATGTTAGGTGCTAGGTGTTCTGAAGTCAGTTTAGAGCCATAGAGCAGCTGAAAGGTACATAGAGTAGGTACATAGAGTAGGTATTCTGTTAACACCCCCCATGCTGCACACACAATTTTGCTACATTGCTGTTGGATTCGAAAAAGAAAGACAGGTGTCCACATGCTTTCAAACAGTTGTCTGAATTCCAACCCATTCACCCCCTACAACTGTTAACTGGCCAGGTAGTCCCAGGGAAGCTGCCTTCGCAAAAGAGGTAGTTAAATGATTTCCCTTGGTTATTTTCTCAGATTTTGTCCTGAAGTCTGAGGATGTTTCCTGGGATAAATTATCTCAAAGTAATGAGATGATGACTAGCACAGTGGTTATTGGGGGGCCAAGAGTGCACTAGACACTCTGCTCAGTGGGAGGCGCCATCACTGGAAGAATGAAGAGTGTGGGGGAGGAGTGCGTGGAAGGGAATTCTCAACCAGTGGTGTGGGATATGTGCTGCTGAGCATGTCATGATGTCAGAACTGAGCAGTGCATGAGATCTGGCAGCTGGGTTGTAAAGGAGAGATTGGAGGGGCAGGGCAAGGCAGCCAGCCAGGCTCCTGGGTCCCTTCTCTGAGTTGATTGCTGAAATCTTAGAGTCAGAAAGCATTGTCAGGAATGGCTTGTGGGTCCTTACTGATCCTTGAGGATAACAGGCCTAGAGTCAGGCCATGAGGGTAAACAGTCAAGCTGTGCTAGTGATAAGGCAAGCTCAACAGGGCCAGGGAGCTGGATGCCAAGGGGGCTTTATGGGATGGGGGAGCTAGCTGAGGCCTTTTAATGCCAGAGGTACTCTGCCCTGGGTTTTAGGCCCTAATGGGTTGGTATGTGGGTTGCTGTGGAAACTAGGTGTAGTGACTGAATGGTATGGAGTTGTGTATTTGCCTGTGTGTGCGTGCAAGCGCTGGAGAGGAGTGGTAAGGAGCAGGGAGGATTGAGGGAATGAAAGCGGCTTCAGAGTCTGGGTCCCAGGTAGGGAATTGAGAGAAATGGAGGGGAGGGATAGGGTCATAGGGAGGGACAAGTGTGTATTGTAGCCACATGAAGTCACCATCTGTCCCCCCTCTGGCCTGCTAGCTCACTGACCTATAATTAGCTCCGGAGGGCATACGGTGCTGGCTCACAGGAGCGTGGCACTTCGGGTGGGCGGCAGAGTAAAGACAACTAAGAGCTCAGAGGGGCTGTGGTCTTTGGTGTACTCTAAAAGGGGCTGCTTCTAGGGGACCCTCAGCACTAGGAGGGACCTGGGGAAACTGAGACTGTCGTGGGGGCAGGGCTGATGGGAAATAGCAGTGGGGGAAGGAGCTCTAAGGAAGTATGGTATGTGATTCCAGGGCCGGGCAGAGCCTGAGGACTCCTGTCATCCTGTCTTCTGGCTGTTGACTCAATGCACAGAAAGCAGGACTGCTGCCCAGTGCATTGCTCTGCCTTCGGAGAGGCTTGGGTACTGCAGCCTGGGGGCCTCCCTCAGGTGTCCTTTGTTCCCCCATGTGACGTGAGCTCTAGCATGCAGCAGCTGCCTGCCTTTCAGTTGGGAGGAGAGAGGCCTTGGCTGGGCTGCTTCATTCTGAGAGAGCTGGAAGAGAAACTGCCACCAGTTAATTCAATTGGTCATACTCCGAGTGGTGCCCAGCACTGACCCCCCAGGCTGTGCCAGAGATGGAACATTTGGTCACATGCTACTCTATTACTCTCCAGTGATTACGTGTGTATCTGTGTTCTCTCAAGTAGCTGTGAACTTCCTGCTAATTGAGGTCATATGTTACATGTCTTTTGTTTTTGTAACAGTAGTGGATTCATGGAAATCACTCAGTAAGTGATCTTTGGATTGAAATGAAGAGGTCTGTCTTCTGGTCCCCTGGGTTCCATGAAGTGGGGCCTCCTCACAACTAGAAATATTTAACCTGGAGCAGAGAAGCCTCTGGGGATCCAGTAAAGTGGTGTTACATCTCAATGGGGAAATTCTATAGGCAGTAGATGAAGGGAACATCCCTAAATCTCCCTTAAAGCATGATATATGAATTTAAGTTTATAACCCTGAACAATAGTTTGAATGTGTAGATATAGTGTGTGTGTACACATTAATTATAAAATATATAATATATATATTATTGTACAGTGATTTACACAAGAGTATATATGCACAATCTAATTTTGTTGTTAACTGTCAGATGAAATAACTGCTTTATTACTTATTTTAAACCACCAGTAGAGCTGAATTCTCATAAATTACATGTATGGCTGATGTATCTTCATGAAAATTGTCTTCAGATATATGAATGTCATTTCAAAGGGGAGATAGGCTACCATTCAGTTTAAGAAAGAACTTCCGGCCAGGCTCGGTGGCTCAGCCTGTAATCCCGCGGCCTTGGGAGGCTGAGATGAGTGGATTGCCTGGGCCCGCGAGTTTGAGACCCGTCTGGGCAACTTGGTGAGACCTCATCTCTACAATAAATCAAAAATTAGTTGGGTGTGGTAGTGCGCGCCTGTAGTTACAGCTACTTGGAAGGCTGAGGCGGAAGGATCGCCGGAGCCCAGCAGGTTGAGGCTGCGGTGGCTGGGAGCAGACACTGCACTCCGGTCTGGGCGACAGAGTGAGACTCCAACTCTAAAAAAATAAATAAATAAAAAAAGAAGAGCTTCCTCAGAACAGTGGAGGCTTCCTGAACATTTGGTAGTGAGCTCCTTGTTCCTGAGGGCTAATCAAGTAAAGACTGAGCTGCCATGGATGATGTGAAAGGACTGGCCTGTATGACTGCTCAGAACCCTTCTGGAGTGGTGTTGGATGGGGAGCACCTGGCAGCTGCTTCAGAAGAGGGCTGTCCTTTGCCTGGCTTAGAGGAGCTCTGCTGAGAGTGAAGGGCTGGGGAGTAGGACTGGGCTTGGATCTCTGCGGGGGCTGTTCCGTGAGGAGTAGGCATTCTGGGAGATGCAGGGGTGACTCCAGCAGTTTCTCATGGACATGGAGCCCTGGGCTTGGGAGACCCTGTGGTATGTCCCTGATGGGCAGGGGTAGGTAGAAGGGTGAGCTGGGTCCAGTTCCATGACCTCAGCCTAGGCTAGGCCAGTTGTGGTGTGCCTGAAGTTTTTGGTCCTGTTGGGGCAGAGCACCTGGAACAGAGTTTTCATTCTTTCAGTTGTCATCCCAGCCCTCTCTCCTCTCTCTCTCACATTCTCACCCAGGTTCAAGATCACCCATGCACTTACACTCTTTTATGACCAGTGATACACTTTCATGATCACACATGCATGCATAAACACTCATGGCCTCCACATGCTCTTATGAGCACACATGATTTCATGACTCTGATGTATGTGCGTGTGTGACCATGCATGTTCACTCTCATGACTGTGTGCACATCCATACATTTATGACCACAGTCGTGTCGTCATGAGCCCTGACATGTACTTTGAACCTCACTCTCATGACTAGACACACCCGCTTGCCCTCATTTGCATCCTCTCATGATCATCCCCTTATACTCTCTCTCGCCACCTCTCCCCTTCTCCCTCTCCTCCCTTCTCCCCCCACCCCTCACTTTCTCTCTTTCATGGCCTCCCTCTTCTCCTTTCATGGCCACAGATATATACCACTCATTCTCATGATACACGCACTTAGTTACATGAATACACTTGGCCCCTTCTCTCATTCTCTTTTTCATAACCACACACACACTTTTGTGACTGCATACTTATGCAAATGCCTTAAGATGCCTGCATTTCTCCCTGCAGTTCTGTACTCTGAACTGTTTACACCTTAGTACCTGTCAGCACTCCAGACAGTCCTGCTTTCTGCTACATGATGGCTCCCTAATTGATGGGTTGATCTACTAATACAGTGACTTCTGAGCATTTATTATTATTTTTTCAACACCAGAGGGCCCTGTTTCATATTTGTTCCACATGGA